CGCGGTCCGCGGCCCACGGTCTGGTAGCTGCCCCCCCCCCCCCCCCCCCCGCCACGAGCGAAGGTGGTCCGGCACAGCCCTGCCACATGCCCATGCCACTGCCGGTGGCTGCAGCGTGTCCCCAAGGCCACGCAGAGACCCCCGTCCCCATCGCAAACCGGAGGGGAGGAGAAAGCATCCCAGCTCCCACAGATGCCGAAACCAGGCAGGGAAACCCGTGCTCCCGCGGCATGTCCATCGCTCTGCCGCGTCCCTGGGCAGCTGGGTCGAGCGGCTCCACCAGCCTCTTTGCTTATTCCTATCTATAAAATGCTGCAGCCTTTTTCCCTCGACTTTTAAAAGCCAAATTAATCGCTGGCAGGCTCCCCAACCTGCTTAAGCATCCTGGGATGCGGTAGGGCTGGCGCGGGTGTCTGTGCCAGGGCTGTGGCTGGGGGATGCTCTCCGTTAAAGCCGCTGAGGTTTCTCGCGCTGAGGGTATGCTTAAAAGCAGAACAAGGCCAGGTTTTTTTTATCCTGTTTGAAACGTCGTTTTCTGCTTCCCGAATGCACGTCGGAGCGTAGTACGTGTTGGTTTGTGGCTGCTGGGAGAGAGGCCTGCCAGCGCGGGACCATGGGCTGTGCAAAACCCATCCATCAGCCCAGCTGGAAGAGGAGAAAACGCGCTGAACCCATCACTTTTGGGGGGAGCATTTTCCCAATGGTGCAAGGACGGGGGGGACTTCTTTCTCCCCCAGCCTTTTTTTAAAGTCTGTAAATGATTTCTGGGGTGCAGAGCGAGCGGCAGGGATGTGCACCGGCGGTGCCTGCACGCGGGTGCACGATGCTCACCTGCGTCCCTGCCACCTCCTTCTCCTTCGGGATGCTAAATATATCCTGAGCCGGGATGGGATGCTAAATATATCCTGGGGCGGGGAGCGGGGACGGCCGTTGTGGCGGGGGGTTTTTGGTGGATATTTGCTGCTTTCCTCCCCATTTGTGCTAATTCGGTGGCGTTTCCAACCCTGTCCATAAATGATAGTGAAGGTGATTTGCAGAAGAGGAGGAGAACCTGAGCAGCCCTTGCTCCCGCGTGGCCAGCGCATCGCTTGCGTTTCATATAGAAGATATCATAATGCGCTCATTTAAATCCCTTTTTTAAAAAAAATAAAATAAATAGGGTTGGTTATTTTTCATTTTTTAAAAACAACTTAAATCAGACACTGGGACAACTTTCGTACACAAACCAGATTTAATGCAGTTAATTTACACTTTTTAAAGCTCTTTGGATGTGGTGTTTTTGCAGATGAGCCCGTAGACCAAGCCCTGCCCTGGCTGGTGCTGCTGCCGTGCCGGGCTCGCTCTTTGAACCTTGCTCTGCTCGTGCTTATTCCTTATTTCCACTTTTTCAATCCTTCACTCAGTCTCTCAAAGCTGAGAAACCAGCTTGGATCACAGAAAGCAACCAGGGCTCAGGCAATGAAGGTATTTTTTTTAAGAAGGATGACAGCACCGAGCTTTCGTTGTTTGTTAACGAACCTTTAGGGACTAATTGGCTAAATCACAATTCTGCCCAAGCGCATCTTGACAGAGGACATTTTTCAAAGAGAGATGATGCACTGAAGTTGTAAAAAACCCCTAAGAAAATGAATAAACGATCCAGAGTGTGATGGTTTAAATAGGCCTGAGCAGATCTGGTGAGGAGCGGCCGCAGGGACTTCGTGGACAGGGATGCTGCGGGTCCGTGTGTGGCCGAGGAGGGTCTTGCAGCGGGTTTGTGTCTCCTGCATCCCCGGCGCTCCTCGCTAGCAAAGACAGCGGATGACACGAGCTCTGGAGCGGTAAATCTGGCTCCGACGAACAGCAGGGAGGGTTACGGTGAAGCCCCGGGCAGCAGCTGCCACCGCAGATTCAGTCAGCTGCGTTGGACCGAGGAGGCTCAGTCATGCAGACGGGTTGTGTCCTTGAAATCCGCGGCGCTGAGGGTGTGCCAGAGCCCGGCACGGCCCAGGCAGCTGTTTTCGTACGTAGACACACTGCCTCCCTCTGCAGCACTGCCCGCTTCCTCCTGGGAATTTAGCATCCCTGTTTTGCTGGGGATAATGGAAAAATAAGGTGGAGATCAGGGGAGGACCCTAAATCGGTGTGGGACGTGGCACGCTCACAGTGAGCCGTGAAGATGCTCCATCCTTTGCTTATTTAGGAGATGAGGCGATGGCTGGTGGGACCAGAGAGCCTTAAATCACCGGCTGCATCCCGATGGAAAAGCATGTTCAGCCGTGCCCGGTACAGTGGCATGCAGCCCCGGCGCTGCCGCGTGTGCCGGACCCTTTGCCAACGCTTTGTGTTCTTTCTTGTCTTGCAGGGCTGAGAAGACGGAGGTTTTGAGCGAAGATCTCCTGCAGGTGAGATCCTCTGCCACTGGTCTGACCTGCCCGGGCTCCGTGCCGGTTGGTGCCGCAGTGTCCCACGGCGATGAGACGGGCTGGGAGGAGGAGGAGGGGGGGCTGGGCATTGTCCCCCTCCCACGCGCCCCTTATACGGCCAGCCGGACTGCGGGCGCCTGCGTCTCCCGTCTCTGCTGCAAAACCTGCCCTGGGGACGGGACATGTGACAGCAGGGGACAGTCCCCAAAGCTGATGGGTTGGGCTTCCCCCAAAGCTGATGGGTTGGGCGACTTCAGCAAAACAGCCCGAGCCAAAAACCTCACGTGGTGCCTTGGAGCATCGGCTGTGATGCTCGGGTCACGGTCTCCTGGGGACATCTCATCTTGGTGCTTTTTGCTCCAGGAGCAGGCTTCCTGCACGCCCCAGGGAGGGAGGCGGCTGAGGAAGTGCCAGCAAAGGGTCGTGAATTCACAAATCCATCACTGAATTCATGAGGTTTCTAACTCACACATTCTCTAAATCGTCACTCGTAACTTGGGCACTGATGAGCAAAACAGCTGCCCAGCCGTTGGTGAGGGTGCTCATCCCTCCTCCTCCATCACGGCGCGGGCATCCCCTGGCGTCAGCCAGTCCGCCTGCTGTTGGATCCACTTCAAAACCTGTTTTGGGGGTAAGCTGATGTATTTATACCTTCCAGCTTGGGGATTTGGTCTGTGCCATTGCTATCAGGTAGCGGATTCTGCAGAAACAGCCAGAGAACCGGTGTGCAAGGATGCTGGTGGCAGGAGGCAGTGACCTGCAGGTGACAGTGGCTGCAGAGTGACCTTTAGCTCTTTCTGGCCACCGTGTCCTGCCTATGTGTTGCCCTCACTTGGACCTAATGACGCTGCTTCCTGCACACATCAGGCTTTAGCAAGAGCCGTGTGTTAGCCAAAAATGTGAGCAGGGTTTGAATGAGCCGTCACTTAAAGGGGTAAGGCGAAACCACGCTGGAAGAGGGTGAAATGAAGCTCTGTTTGCAAACGTCCCAGCCGGCCGCAGAGGGCAGCCGCCCGCGTAGGTTAATCCCTCCCGTGGCCTCTTGCTGCTTTACCAGGGATTTAGCAGCCATTTCCATCGCGGCTGGGACCAGCCTGACCCGTGCAGGGGGGGCACAAGATTGGTCTCCGGTTGCACCAGCACCGGCACCACGCACGGCTCCCAGGGCATTGGTGGGTTTGTTCGCTGTTCGGCAGCGCCGTCCTCGCGGTGTGCACCTCTGCGAGTCGGTCTCCAAGCCTTGGAGATTTGGGGTTTTTTTCCTTTCTTCGTTCCCCACCAGTGCTGGTGGCAGGGATGGGCAGGGCGCGGTGGTGACGTGCCCCACTGTCCCCAGGGATGGGCAGCCCCGGTAGGACGGAGCGGAGGGGAGCTGAGCGTCCCCGCCACCGGCAGCCAGAGGGAACATCAGTAATGAACCTTTTTTCCTTCTATTTTAATTTTTGGCGTTTCTCCTGGCAAGCTCTGAGGCCTCCATGGCCCCTCGGCACTGAGAGCCGGACCCTGCTCTTACAGCCGTCCGGCGACATCCCGGCGCCAGTTGGCGTCTGTGCCGGCACCAGCGAGGGCACGCCTGGCTTCGGCAGCGTTGCACGGGAGATTTTTACACCTTTTGGAGAGGCAGATAATTTTGCAGAGAAGGCGGCCGGTGCTGCCTGTCCGGGTGTCTCCCAAAGAGTCAGTCGTGTTCGCGGGGGTCTGTCTCCAGGGATGGTGGGGAGCCCAAACCCTTTCAGGCGTCATATCTAATTGCCTGAGCTCATCTATATGGGTGCGCACCCATAAATGTGCCCTTCTGAACATCATACCCCTTCCTTTCAACACATACATGGAAATGTATGTGTGTGTGTATATATATATATAAAAAATATATATATTATATTATAAAAATAATATTTCTATATAAAAACAGTAGATCTCCATGATGACAGGCTGAGGCAGAGCATCCTCTGCCGTCCCTGCGGTGGCTCCCATGAGATGCCTCCTGCCTCGAGGACTCGCACGCTGGAGAAGCTCGGCACTTCTCCCACTTCCCCCAGGCAGGGAGTATTTCTTTTTTTCCAGGCTATTTCCCAAGACTTTGAGCTTTAGGGAGTATTTCTTTTTTTTCAGATTATTTCCCAAGACTTTGAGATTTCCATGTTTACCCTGAGTCTCTCAGCTTCGGTTTATGGCAGATCCTGTTTGCCTTTGTTTAATGACTCGTCTCGCTGACCATTGGGATGAACTTCTCAGTTTAATCAAGGCAGAGGCAAATAAGGCAATTTGCAGCCCTGGGTTGGAGCTGCGGCCAGTTTGGTTTGTGGCAGGGGACGGACACCTCCTGCCCTCGCCTGGGGACACAAGGGCTTTGGAGGCTGCTCTGGATCCGGCCCTCAGCCTTGCTCGGGGGGTTAAGATGGGGCAGCCTCAGCCTGGTGAAACCCTCTCCTACTTCAAGCATCCCTGTCCTGGGAAGGGGTTGGGCTCCGGGGCTGTTGCATCCGATGGAGCAGCAATTAAAATCGCTCTGACTGGAAAGCAAGAAGTCCCTTACGCCCCTGCATGGGGGGGTCCAGGACCAGGCAGGATACCCCGGTGATGGGCACCGCTGCATCCGCAGGTGGAGAAGCGCCTGGAGCTGGTGAAGCAGGTCTCCCACAGCACCCACAAGAAGCTGACGGCATGTCTGCAGGGCCAGCAAGGTGTGGACGCCGACAAGCGCTCGGTGAGGCTTTGGCAGGGCTCTGAGGATGCCGGGCGGGCTGCCGGCAGCGGTGGGGCCGGTGGGGTGGGAAACGCAGCCCTCTCTTTGCAGAAGAAGCTGCCGCTGACGACGCTGGCGCAGTGCTTGATGGAGGGATCGGCTGTGCTGGGTGACGACTCTCTGCTGGGGTAAGGGGGGCCCGGGTCTCCCCCGGAGCTCTGCCACTGCTGGGATGCTGCCGGGATGTTTCTGGGAATTGCTGAGGTTCCTTATCTGTGATGCCGGTTAACGGGGGGTTTCACAGCGGTGTCGGAGGGGCTGGGATGCTGGTGAGATCTCGGTAGTCCAGGGGTCTGCTTTACGCTTCTTCTCCTTGCGATGAGCTGGGGTCCTTTAGTCATGCAGTATACAATGTAAACTACATATATTCAGAAAGTTCATACAATTTCAGACTATAATTGGTACAATAGTTAGGGGATGAGATTTTCCTAACACCTGGGGTGCCCACGGTCCCTGGGCTGCCACCCTGCCTTCAGCCCTCTGCCAAGGAAGGGCTGCCCCGCGCCACTGCCGAGACCCCCAGGGGCTTTGGGTGGCCATTGCCCACCCCCGTGGGCGCAGGATGGCTGCCCGTCGCTCCCCCCCGCTGCCCCCACGGTGCCCAGCCCTGCTGGTGCCCTTGCAGGAAGATGCTGCGGCTGTGCGGGGAGGCGGAGGACAAGCTGGCTCAGGAGCTCATCCACTTCGAGCTGCAGGTGGAGAGGGACGTCATCGAGCCCCTTTTCGTGCTGGCCGAGGTGAGCGGCAGGCGGGGAGGTCCTCGGGTCGGGGTGTCACCGCGCCGGCGACTCGCATCCGAAACAAGCCTGGGGGAAAGCAGAGTTTCACTTCTTCGGTGGCATATTTGGTTCCTGGCCCCTGCGAGAGACCTTCCCCCCTTGAGGTGGTTGCTAATCGCTTTAATTGGCAGGCAGTATTTGCACGTTCAGCTGGGCTGGCTGCTGGGGCAGTGGTCCCTGCCGGGCCCCTTCGCCTGCCCTGGCTGCTCTTGCTCTTTTCTGCCTCCCCTGAAGGCAGAGGCGTTAACACTCTTATTTCTGACCCATTTTTCCAAGCTCCAAACACATACCATTGTTGTTTGGGATATTTTTCTTTTCCTCCTTTTCCTCCCTGCTGCCAACTTTGTTTTTCTATTTTACCCAACACTTTCCCCCCCCGACCTTTTACATCTCGCAAAATGTCCCAGGCTTGGTTCTGATTTTATCTTCACCAGCAGAAACAGCAAGAGCTTTATCGCACTGCTGGTGTTACCAGGATGGGCGAGCAGAGCTGGACCAGAGCTTATTTTGCCAAATCCTTTGGCAAACAGTGCCCGTGCATGGGAGACTTTGCATTGCCATCCCCAAAAGCCCTTTTCCTGCCTTCATCCAGCTCCCCAGTGCAGGAGGCTTTGATCCCCCAAGGATGCTCCTCTCAGGGATGCGGGTTCTGCGGTCGGGGCTGTCGGGGGGTGGCACAGCCCGGGTGGGGACATGGAGGAGGGACGAGCTGTGCTATCCCCCTAATGACGTTTAAATAAGGAGCTGCATCCTTATCCGCCCAGCTTGCACCAGCCCAAACTCCCAGCGTCGCAGTCAGGTATGACCTACCCCGGACGCCTCTCCGGGGATGTTTATCTCCTCCCGTTCCTGTGTGTTGCTGCAGGTGGAAATCCCAAATATCCAAAAGCAGAGGAAGCACTTGGCGAAGCTCGTGCTGGACATGGACTCCTCCAGGACGCGGTAGGAAGCGGCTTCAAAGTTTCTTTATAAAAAATAAAAATTCCCAAGCGATGGGTAGCGCCGGGGAGGGCACGTCCCAGAGCCCTGGTACCGCGGCTCCCTTGGGACAATAAGTCTCGGCCATGTCACCGTGTGCCTTGAAGTCAAGCTCTGCAATGAGCCAAGATTTCTGCTCTTGTCTGCAGAATCCATAGATCCCTTTTCCTTGCCTGCCCTCTGCAGAAAAGAGTATTTTTTTCTGGCACAAATCTTTATTTTTTTCCTCTTTTCCCGATCTTGGTGAGTTCTTACCTGATGACAAAGAGCCGGCTGCTCCTGCCGCTATAGAGTAGCACTGGGGTGGAGCTGGGATGACCCTTGGGATCGTCCTGTGTCCCAGACTCTGTGGTGGGACCCAGCAGGCTGCGCTTTGGGTTTTGCCTGGGGCCGTTGAGTTGGCCAAGCCCAGCACATCGCGGCGTGCCCTGGGGAGAGGTTTGGGATTGGGAGGTGTCCGTAGTCCCCAACGTCATGTCCAGGCCCTCCCATCGCCTTCCTCTCTCCTCCCGACTGGAAGAGGCTCGTTCTCCTGCTGAAAATAATTGCTTAATTAGAGCCCAGTGCGTGCAGCCGGTTGTGGGGACTGGGGATGTTTGGGGTTGGGAGTGGATGCTGCATCCCAGCCTGGGTTGGGACCATCTCCATGGTGCTCAGCCCTGGGGACCATGGTGGGCTTGGCTGAGGGGGGTCCTGGGCTGCCCTCCAAGCCCGCTGGGATCCAGCCACCGCTCTGCGCGGGTCCCCATCCCTCCCCATGACAGCTCTGCCCTCCCACAGGTGGCAGCAGTCTGCGAAGTCCTCGGGTTTGGCCAGCAACCTGCAGCCCTCGGGCGCCAAAGCCGACGCTCTCAGGGAGGAGATGGAGGAGGCGGCCAACAGAGTGGAGATTTGCAGGGTACCCAGGGGTCCCGGGGGGACTGCTTCTTGCTGGGGTGGGGGGACCTCGGCATCCCAGGCACCGCAGAAAACCTGCAGCCTCCCCTGTTACCCCATTCTTCACCCTCTTCCTATCCTGGTGCCCACGGGAAACCCCGCACTGGCTGGTCCCATGCCCAAAGGCAGCCCGGCGGCAGCCCCGACCCTCTCCCCATCACCCCCCCGCCGGACACTGCTGGGGCTCACTGGGTGCTCAAAGTGCCGCCTTCGAAAGACAGCAACTGCACCAGAGCTGCCGAATGTGGGTGATGCTTGCCAGCCAAGCAGGACGTCCCCGGTTCCTCTGTCCCCATCCTCCATATCCCACCAGAGCCAGAGAGCATCCCCTTCCCAGGGGGCCCGTCCCAGCAGGAGCCGGCGAGCTCAGCGTCGAATAAACCCAGCCCTGGCACAGAGACCTGCAGGAAGCGCCAGCACGAGCCGAGCCCACGCGTGCCAGCCAGCCACGTCACCCCCCGCCATCCCGTGGGAGCACAGCTGGCCGTGTTGGCTGTGAAAAGTGTCTGAGCGAGGGGCGACGCTGCTGCCAGCGCCTTCGTCATGGGCTGCGGCATTGAGAGATGAAACCCGCAGGCGATTTTGTGTGGCTTTAAATTCCCCCGGGCAGAAGATGCAAAGGGCCGGGCGAACCTTGCACTATAGGTTTGGGGCAGGTTTGGGGCAGGAGATGGAGCTGGGTCCGTGCCTCAAATCCTGGCTCTTTTCTCCAGGGGCACAACCAGAACCCGCGTAGCCTTTAAAAATCTGGTCCCAAGCTCGTGCTGTTTTACAACATCACAGCCCCACACAGCCAGCAATTCCCAGCAAACCAGCTGGGCCAGGAGCTGCCCCCAGTACATTCACCGTACTGACGGTGGATATTGCCACCGGGACATGCTTGCAGTGTTTTAAAACCCTGATGGTTTTCCTCCGATTGAGTTATCCAAGGGGATTCTCAGAAAGGAGCAATTCGGGAAGCGGCAAAGTCTGTTTTGTGAGTGTGAGGACAGAGACGTACGTGTGTCCTGGTGCCAAGGGGCTCGTTGCAATTCGGAGCAAAAAGCACCCGATGCCCCATCAGTCTGGTCCGCACTGAGCGGCTGGGATGCTACCCGCGGCAGCCGAGCTGTGTGCGCTGCTTCGCTGTGCAGCAATTAGCCCTGTGGTTAATGAGCCACTTGCACACGAGGAGCAATACAGCGAGGTGCTGGGACGAGCAAGCTTGGGGTTTAATTTGTGCTGTTCAGCCTGCCGGGCTGTGCAGCCTTTGGCTGACAGGTTGTTTCCAAGTAACTCTCGCTTCCAGAGAGCTCGTTGCAAGGCGCTGGCTACTTGTGGGCTCTGGAAGCCGGGGGGGGGTGTGGGGTGTGAGGGTGGAGCTGTTTGCACAGCAGCAGAAAGCAAAGCCCCGCGGTGCTGCCATATATTCGACATCCCAAGCACATCTCGAGCGGGTGCTGCAACGTGCCGCGTTGCACGTTGGCTCCTGGTGTGACCGAGCTGGTCCCTCCCGGTGGCCTCCGAAAGGGCCACCATGGTGGCATCAGGGCAGCACGAGTGGGACGGCGACTAATTCTCTGCTCTCCACAGGACCAGCTCTCGGCTGACATGTACAATTTTGTGGCCAAAGAAGTAGACTATGCAAACTATTTTCAAACTGTAAGTGCCACCCATCCCCACGGGACTCCTCCGCCCCCGTCCCCAGCCGTAGGGGTGACAGCCGGTGCCGTCTCTCCCCCCCAGCTGATCGAGGTGCAGGCAGAGTACCATCGGAAATCCTTAGCGCTTTTGCAGAATGTCCTGCCTCAAATTAAAGCCCAGCAGGGTAAGTGCCCGCGGAGTCTGTCCCGCTCCTGCATGCGAGGCCAAGGGCTCTGCGTCACGCCGGAGCCGTGCGGGGCTTTGCCGCGGCGATGAGCCGGCTGCAGCGTGACCCCGCGGCGTGGCGTGGTGCTGCGTTTGTGGCTGAGCATCCTCCCTTTGCTCGCCCCGTCTGCATCCCGCCTGCCCCGGTGCTGGGGAGGGCATCCTCATCCCACTCGGTCACGGGGGGCAGGATCCAGCCAGCTTCATGGAGGGGAGGGGAAAACCCGCCTGACTATCCCCATCGAGCGCAGCACCGGAGGTGGGAACCCAGTGCCAAGGGGGGTGTCTTGGGGCTTCGCTTTGCGGTGTGCAACCTCTGTAGGAGCTGGGCTGGGAGACCAAGGTCGGGGAAAGCCCCGTGCGATGGCCCCGAGAGCAGCGCATGCCCCAGGGCAGGGCTCAGGGTGCTGCCGTTGCTGCAGCAGGGCAGGGAGTGATTTGTATTTTATTTTTTTCTCTCGATCCCACAAAATATTCCTGCCTCAAACTGTGATGGAAGAAGGGGGAATATATTGCAAAGGTTTGCCCGTGATTGCTCCCCCCGGAAAACGTTATCCAGCCCCTTTGAAATGTCCTGTGTGATGATTGGAAAACATTTTGTTTGGATTTCATCTTTAAAAAGCACTTCCCGAGCCGCCCAGGACAGAGGTGCGGGGTCCTGTTGTTTTAGCAACACCCAAACGGAATATTTTGCTGCCGGAACGCTGTGATCCAAGGGCCTTTCGGGGAGGGGATGCCGGATCCGGCACCGTCCCCGCCGTGTCCTCTCCTTCCTCTCACCCCCTCTGCCTGTCACAGAGGCGTGGATGGAGAAGCCCTCCTTCGGGAAGCCCTTGGAGGAGCACCTGGCCGTCAGCGGGCGGGAGATCGCCTTCCCCGTGGAGGCATGCGTGACGATGCTGCTGGAGTGCGGCATGCAGGAGGAGGTGGGTCCCATGTCCTACCACCTTCGGTTGGGCATGATGGAAGGGGACATGGGTGCCTCCAAGGCAGGGGTGAGGAACCAGGGGGCTTTGGGGACATCCCCAGCCCCAAAGCTTGTCTGATGCTCTCCTGTGTCCTTTGCGAAGGGTCTCTTCCGAGTGGCTCCCTCAGCCTCCAAGCTGAAGAAGCTCAAGGCCGCCCTGGACTGCTGCGTGGTGGACGTGCAGGAGTACTCGGCCGACCCGCACGCCATCGCAGGTAGAGGCTGCCTCAGGGCAGGGGGGTTGGTGGTGTGCGGGATGGCCCATCCAGCCCCCAAGCACCAACCGTGGGCACCCAGAGCGTGGTCATCAGTGGCATGAAGGCTAGTTGGAGGCCAGTAACTAGCGGTGTAGTCCAGGGGTTGATACTGGGGCTGATCCTGATTAACATCTTTATTAACGACGTGGACGATGGGGCAGGGTGCACCCTCGGCAAGTTGGCAGGTGACGCCGAAGTGGGAGGAGTGGCTGGTGCACCCGAGGGGCGGGCTGGCATCCACAGGGGCCGGGACAGGCTGGAGAAATGGGCCGAGGGAGACCTGGTGAAGTTCGGCGAGGGGAAGGGCCGAGTCCTGCCCCTGGGGAGGAGCAGCCCCAGGCAGCAGGACACGCTGGGGCCACCCAGCTGGAAAGCAGCTTGGCAGAGATGGCCCTGGGGCTCCTGGTGGACACCAAGCTGGCCATGGGCTGGCAACATGAAGGCAAATGGTGTCCTGGGCTCCACTGGGAGGAGTGATGCCAGCGGGTCAAGAGAAGTGATCCTTCCCCTATGCTCAACACTGGTGAGGCCACACCTGGAGTGCTGGGTCCAGTGCTGGGCACTACAAGAGAGACATGGACATACTGGAGAGTCTCCAGTGAAAGGCCATGAAGATGATGAAGGGCCTGGAGCATCTCTCCTAGGAGGAAAGGCTGAAGGAGCTGGGACTGTTCAGCCTGGAGAAGGCTCAGGGGGACCTCATCAATGGACATAAGTACCTGCAGGGAGGGTGCAAAGAAGGCAGAGCTCTTTCCAGCAGTGGCCAGTGCCAGGACCAGAGGCAATGGGCACCAACTGAACCATGGGAGGTTCCCTCTGAACATCAGGAGAGACTTTGTCACTGGGAGGGTGACCAAGCACTGGCATAGGTTGCCCAGGGAGGTGGTGGAGTCTCCATCCTTAGAGATACTCAAAAGACTCAGGACATGGTCATGGGCAACCAGCTCTGGGTGGTCCTGCTGGAGCAGGGGGGCAGACCAGATGACCTCCAGAGGTCCCTTCCCACCTCAACCCTTCTGTGATTTGTCCCAAAGCCTTTGAACAGTAAAGACAGAATATACGGGGGGACAAATGCAGGTGCAGAAATACAGCTCTTGGTGGAAGTGGGAGTGTTTAGGAGTTGCCATCCACTGAGGAGCACAAAGCCCAACCTGCACGTCCCCTCCCTGGCTGAGGGCTCGAGCAGCACTTTTGGTTGCAGGCGAGGAAGAAAACAGGGATTGCAATTGTAATCCAAGGTGGCGTCGGGGCCCTGGTGACGCTAATGAGGGTGATGCTGATCGGGAGAGGCTCTGCAGGAGCAAGGAGCGGTCGGAAGATTCACACGTGTTATCATCAAGCTTGTCATCTTCTCTCTACCTCTTCGGCGGCTAAGACCCTCTCCAAGCACAGATCGGAGCCCGTGGGGCTGCTATTAAGCATTAATTGGGTTCAAATGCCAGTCAGCTGCCCCCGTCCTGGGCTGGGCTCTCCGGCGGGTGCAGGATTGGGCCCTGGTTTCCTACTGACTGCAGTGGGAACCTTTTCCCAGCGCAAGGAGCTGTGAACGTCCTAGGCAAAAACGAGCGATGAAGAGCTGGGTGAACGCCTGGTGGAGGCAAAAACGGTGGAGGGAATGGGGGAGGTGCTAGGAGGCACTAGGCGGAGGTGGCAAGGTGGTTGCTGGGGGTCAGGGGATGCTATGGGCTCCACCAAGCCGGAGAGACTAACAGGTGCTTTGGGATGCATCGGTGGGGAGGTTGGGAGGGATGTGAGTCAAAATGCCAAGGAGTGAAACCACTCGGTGCCTGGTGGCCAGTGCCACCCGCGGTGCCTCCTGCGGTGCCGAGCCCCGTGTCCTTTGTGTGCCACAGGAGCCCTCAAGTCCTACCTGCGAGAGCTGCCGGAGCCCCTCATGACGTTCGAGCTGTACGAGGAGTGGATCCAGGCATCCAAGTGAGTCTGGGGCATCTCCCCCATTCCTCCGTGACACGGGTGGTGGCATCTTGGGTCTCCATGGATGGTTTGTGGGCCATGAGTTATTTCTGACATGGCTCACAGCATTTGGGATGTTTCCTCCGGGGTCTGAGAGCCAGGAGGGTTCCCGTGATGCTCCTTGAGCATCGTGGGTCCCAGCAGTAAGGGTGGCCTTGATGTCCCCCAACCCTGATGTACCCACCGTGATCCAGAGCACCCTGGCCAAGGTGGCTGAGCTCTCCCAGCATCTTTCGGCAAGCCCTTGGGTGCCGGGGCGCTGGTGCCGTTTCTGGACGGGTGTGCAAGCCTTGGGGGACAGCTGGCCGAGGGAGCTCCCACCTGCTTTGCTGGGGTGCTCTGCACTGTGGGATCCCCAAACCCAGGAGGACTGGGCCAGCTGAGGTGGCACCAGCGTGCCTGCTCCACCATGGGAGGGCTTTGGGGTAGGGGGTGAGGGGCAGAGGAAGGTGGGAGAAGGAACATCTCCTTTTAGGGTGGGAACAACCTCAGTGGTGCCTGAGTATAGGTCTGACCACATCCCCCACCTGCCCTGGGAGCGCTGGAGCACGGCGGGGACGTGGCGGTGGCTCAACGGAGGGGACAGTCCCCGAGGGTGGCACGTGGGGGAGCGGGCTGTTGTTCTGGGGGGCTGTTTGCAGTAATTTCCCCTTCCGAAGCAAACACATCCCCAAAACACAAACCTCGGGGGGGCTGCACAGAGGTGAGGAGAGGGCCAGCATCCAGCCTGCAGCCGAAAGGTTTCCTTCTCATTTTGGCCGGGTTTTTTTGGGTTAATTTACTTATATAATGCTGGCAGCAGCCCGAGGGTCTCGCAGGGTCCCCGAGGGCAGGGCAGGCGGGGTCGAAAGCCCCGGAGTGTGGTGGGGGGGGGGGATGACCCTCTTGTCCACCTCCCTGCAGCATCCCGGAGCAGGAGAAGCGGCTGCAGGCTCTCTGGAGCGCCTGCGAGAAGCTGCCCAAAGCCAACTACAACAACATCAGGTGAGCCTGGGGCCAGCGGGACCCGGGGTGGGGACAGAGAGGCTGCGATCCTGATATACCGACACGGCTTGGCTCTGCTCTCCAGGTACCTGATTAAATTCCTGGCCAAGCTGACCGAGTACCAGGACACAAATAAAATGACGCCGAGCAATGTGGCCATCGTGCTGGGGCCCAACCTCCTCTGGCCGCAGGCGGACGGGTAAGGTATCCGGGTGGAAAGCGAGCGTGCCAGAGGGACGCTGGGGAAGGGGGCGAGGGAGGGTCCGGGGCCAGAATCCCACTGGGAATAAGGCTGGCCTGCGGTGGGGTTGCTGAGCCGCTGCTCGCTGCCTTGCAGGAACATGACGGAGATGATGACGACCGTCTCACTGCAGATCGTGGGCATCATCGAGCCGCTCATCCAGCACGCCGACTGGTTCTTCCCCGGAGGTAGGCTGTGCCCTGAGGCCGTGGTGGGGTGGGATGGGCTTCGTGGGACCTCCTGACCCTCCCTGGGGAGGCGGTGCTGAGCTCCCATATTTATTTTTGCCAGTCCCCTCTGCTTGCCTTGGCTTGGGGGGAGGGGCTCAGGCAGAGATCTGGCAAGACTCATCACAGCAGTGAGCCCAACTCCTCTCCTCACTTGAGGACACACAAGGTCCCCCTCCCCCCCCTCCAGACATCGAGTTCAACGTGACGGGCAACAGCCCCCTCCTTTCCCCCCCCCTCCAGAGATCGAGTTCAACGTGACAGGCAACTACGGCAGCCCCATGCACGTCAACCACAATGCCAACTACAGCTCCATGCCCTCCCCGGACATGGACCACGCGGACCGCCGGCAGCACGACCAGGCGCGGCGGCCCCTCAGTGTGGCCACGGACAACATGATGCTGGAATTTTACAAGAAGGATGGGTAGGGTCTTTGCGGTGCCCGGGTTTGGGGAGAAGGAGCTGGTGGCATTGCCACCACCCTGGGAGGGCATGGCACTGGGCTAGCGGAGGTTGGGTGGTCCTGGGGTGGGAGGACCCCCTGCTCTCCGTGCTGGGCTCTTGGAGATGTTCAGGTGAGCCCGGGGCTTGACGCCTGCCCCCAGCCCGCTGGAGATGGGAGCAGGGTGGCCCGTGGCGTGGCACCGGGGCTGTGCCGTGATGGGATCGGGTGCCTTGGTGTCCCCAAGGTCTGCGGGCTCTGCTCCTGGGGAAAGCTCCCCACTCCCAGCCTGTGCGTCTGTCCCCCCCCCGCCGTGCCACCTCACAGGGACCGCAGCCAGTCAGGTCAGCTCCAGAAAACACCCCCAGGGCTCTCCCCATCTCCAGAAAACATCCCGAGCTCTCCCCATCACCAGCATCGCCTGGTCCCCGCCGTGCCCCTCCTGCTCCCTCTCTCGAAGCCCCTTGACCTCGCAGCTCCTTTTCCCAGCAGCGGGCTCTCACCCTGCGCGCTGTCGAGTTTTAGGGGTTTTTTTTTACACTAATAATCGTGTGTTTCTGCTCATGCAGCCTTAGGAAAATCCAAAGGTACTGTATCCTCTGCAGCGGTGCTGGGGAGGTGCTGGGAGGATGCTGGGAGGATGCTGGGAGAATGCTGGTGCCTGCTGGTACCTGGGGAAGGGAGAGGTGGCGGGTGGGTGACATAAGCACGTCCCACACTGCCACCCCTGCCCTATTGCCATTGTTCATTCCCAGCAGCTTCCCGGTGGAAGAGGCGTTTTCAGGGGCCAGGCACCCCAAAGGAGCCGTGACGCGGTGCCGGCGGTCCCCTCCCTCCGGGCGGGTGCTGAGAGCCTGTCTCTATGTCCCCCCCCCAGCATGGGCGTCAGGGTGATGGACACCTCGTGGGTGGCTCGCCGAGGCACCGCAGTGGTGCGCAAGGCGTCCTCCACCCCGCCGGCTGCTCAGCCCCCCGCGCCGCCCGCCGAGCTCCCCCCCGCGCCCCCCTCG